AGACCCTAAGCCTTAAACTGGGGTGTCTCCACCCTGGCCTTCCCCACCCCCAGAGTGCTCCCAATCCAGCATCTCCTAACCCTAAGCAAAAATCACCCTTTCCCCTTAGCTACCCATCAGAATTGGAACTAACTCACTGCCATGTGAAGCTCTGGTTGTCCTATTGTTCCCAAGGCACTGGCCTGGTAAAGGAGGATGCTTGCTGTGGTAGACTGTATTTTCCAGAAACGGCTGCAAAATATTTCTGATTCCACATGCTCATCCAGAGCCTTGCTGCTCCCCCATTAAGAAGTGGAGTCTTTTCCTCTTCCTTTTGAAATTTGGCCTTTGTAACTTCTTTAATGAAAAGAACTACTTAGAACTGCTCACCTATGCCCTCCCCTCCCCCCATCCATGTGCACCATCTGTTCAGGCTCTCTCCTCTCCAGATGCCTCCCTGACATGAGGCAACAATGGCCAGGTTGTTTTTAACAAACATGGCAAGATATTACCTTAAGATATTTATCTGTGGGTTTTTCTTTCCCCACTTCCTGGTACAATAACCAAGTGGCCTCATGGAAAAGGAAGGTTGAGAGAGAGGGGTTGAAAAGAGCCAAAAATAGTCAAGGTTGAGCTTTGTGACTCCAAAAGAGCTTTTGAGAATCAAAAAGTGAGGCTAGGAGCATGAAGCACATGGATAAACATGGAACAAGGAGAAAGACTAGAGAGGAATTGCTGGACAACCACACCCCAGTGCCTCCCAGGGAGACCAGAGTAGGTCTGCTGGGCTGGGCGAGGGCAGGAGCAGGGAGGAGCAGGTCAGCATTGGAAGCCTGGGGAGCACCTAAGAGGCTTCCCCATCCCCACCGCTCCCCTCAAGGCCCTCAGCTGCTGCATTTCCCCAGAGATGTTTGCTGAGCCCCATCCACACTCCCCTGAATGAATGCCCGCCCCCACTCGGTGCTTCAGGACTCTTATGAGCCCCGGGTATCTGTCAGGAATGCTTTCAGCTGCAAGTGACAAAAAATATAATGAGCAGTGCCTTAAACACCAGCGGCTTACATTTTTCATGTAACAAGAAGGCTAGAGGTGAGCAGTTGCTTTGTAAAAAGGCAGATTCCCCAGGACCCAGTCCCTGAGATTAGGATTCAGTTAGTTCTGGAATGATCTCCAGGGATCTATAATTCCTGAAGCTTCCCAGGTGATCCTAATTGGCAACCTGCCGTGGGAGCCACTGCTCCCAAGTTCACTAAACCTACTGTGCTCTCCCCTCTTCTGGGTTTTGAGTCCTTTAGCTTCCAGAGGAGTCAACAGCACCGCCGGTGAACTCCTGATTCACTTATTGATTCACGTGGTCAACAAGCAGTAATTGCTCACCTTTTTTACGTGGCCAACGCAAGTTCACTGAGGGGTGTGAACTGTGCCAGGAGACATGGGAGATTCAGCAACATTCTCAGACCGAGTGGAATGTCCACAGAGTCAATTTGAAGTCCTTCCTTTCCCGCTGGAGAGAGCTGGAGTAACGGCCCGAGTAAGCATGCGGAGTCGAGTGCCCTCTTCTGCCTTCATTTCCTCTCAAACTCTCATGACAACATAAAGATTCTGTTAAAAGCAACAAAATCCTCAAAGACAAAGCTAAAAGAAAACGCAAGCAGAATGCAGAGAGATGTGAACAAAATGTCAGAAACTGGAAAGCAGATAGTGATGAGTGACTTGGAGACCAGGGCTGCAGAGAGGAGGCAGGAAGCTGACAGACTGGTCCCATAGAGCCCCTGAACACACAGGACCAGAAGCCCCAGGAGACCTCTCAGGAGGCGGGCTGTGAGTTAAAAGTTTGCACCAAATGCTGGGGGACCCCTAGATTTCTTCACCACCCTACCAGCCAGGTATCTCCATCATCAAACAGAAAACATGCTGGAGAAGGGATTAAGGGCAAGTCAGCGTGCTGAGCAAATGCTGAGATCCACCAGCAACGTTTCACCAGCACATCTGAGAATGCCGGCAGCCCAGCTTAGACACCTCAGTTTCTCCAGGGAAACCGAGATCCTCAAAGAAAAGACAGAGACAATAATACTGGGAATCCTAACCCAACGTAGAAATCCAGAGGAAACCAGGACAGCACAAAGAGCAGAATAAACTTTCAGGAAAACCATAATTAATATCTTAACAGAGGCAATAGAAGATAATTGCACCAATGAAAAAAGACCAGACTATTCATAGAACCAAAACACATTCTCAGTTTTAAAAAATATAAAAACAGGAAGAAAAGATTCAATAGAATCCAAGCATGCTTTATTGGGAAGCTGCTGCAGGATGTACTCCACCAAAATGAGGGGGTAAACCAGGAAAAAAGAAGACAGAAGATTCAAGAAACAGGGATCCAACAAAGGAGGGCTGGTGACACATGAGACAGGAAGCCAGCGGGCCCCAGGGAGGGTGTCGTAAAAGTCAAAACCAACAGATTAGCTGAGCGCATGGACTATTAGGGGGAGATTAACAGTCCGGAAAGAGTTGGAGGTGGGGAGAGGTATAGATCAAAACATAAGATAATTTTGAACTCCAGCGGGGGGAAAAAGGCATATAACAAAGGAAATCATTCTCAGTGTACACCACATGCCTTATCTGGGAAGAATAGTTACAACAATCACAACAGTGTTAACTTTGAATATTGATTTAACCAAAAATTATAATATAATTACTTTGGAAGAATGGGAGAACAAGAGTGCTAAATCTTCATCTTTCATAGGAGGAAGTCAAGAGTTTATATCTAAATCTGAAAAATCAATACGGAAGCATATTATTTACACACATGGGGGAAACATCTAGAAGAAGCCTCTGAGTCAGTTGAAAGGGAGACTTCTGTTTTTCTGATGGGGAGGGCCGTGTGGGAAATGGTAGTCTGTCAGACCACGGGGAATTTTTCTGGTCAAAAAAACCCAGACTTTTGTAATCCTTTCCCTCCAGCTCACGGGGTTCAGCCAAAGTCGTCCCTTGAGGATTGCCGAGTGTGAGTTCTGAGGAAACACACAAACGCACACAGTGAACTTCATTGGACTCAGTTTCATCCTTTTTTCCTAAGCCAGAAGTGTCATGACAGACGGGGAAGAAGCCAGGGCCCCTGTGGGCCTGTGGGGGCGTTTGTACAGAAGGCTGTTCCCCGGGCCTCTGGCATCTCTGTTTCTTACCAACAGGAAGAGCTGTGAGTGGCCTCGCTAGTCACCCTGTACCCAAGTGCCAGGCACCAGGTACGTGTTCGAACGAATGAAAGAATCAGTGAGTGAACAACAAACGAAGCCATTCGTTTTCACGCACTGTAAACGCTTCACCCACGCAGGACCGACCGACACTGTCTGCCTCCAGCGCTTCCTTCTGATTCACTCGGAGACTTAATGCCTCTTAGGTATTTGTCAAATGTGAAGTGGGCACCTCTCACGTGTCAGGTTTACTCCTGCCTTCAAAGATATTACAATCTGTTTGGGAAGGCAAAATACAAATAAGGAAAACTCAAACTCATGGCCACAGACAGTCGAGGTGTGGGTGCGCAGGAAGAAGTTACTGTGGGACTTGAACCCATAACCGTAGGAGGAGTGACTTTCCTGACACTGGCTGCAAAGCCCCTAGAGTCTTTTCCAAGTGTTTTGTTCACACTGAGGCTGGGAAGATGGAGGGAGAGAGTAACACCCTTGTTGACACAAGTCAACAGAGCATGAATTTGGTTGCCTTCCCACAAGCATTCTCCTGTTTACCTTTGTGCTTTCACGCTAAGGTAGAGAAATCACCGTTCCTCTGGTGATCAAATCTGCCGGCCTTTCCTCCTGGCCAGGAGGGCAATGCAGGGGCACTTGCCAGATGCCTGCTCTGCTCATTCCAGGACTGCAGGTGTCAATTGACTTCCAGCCGTTCGGACATTTCTTCCCACTGGAACAACGATCGAACCTTTATCCAAGAATAGCCAAGAGAACCTGGTCTGGGCCCGTCTTTTTTTTTTTGTTTTTTTTTTTTTTTTTTTTTGTTT